CCTACTTTCACTGTTGCTTTTTTATTAAAAATAGGGAGAATGAGACAGTCTACGTCTACGTATTAGCTAAAATCTTACAGCACATTAAGACGTAGGAAGATAGTAACAAATGAACAAACTTTACTCTTTTCTTCTTCTTGATAAACTAGACTCCCCTCTCATTTCCACATCTGAACTACTACAGAGTCAACATATTCAATAATTGCCCCTCTGGGAAATTTCTGTACAAATAATTGCTTCCTCATCCAGCACACAACTCGACATCCATGACTGACGGCGAGTCCAACGTACTAGGTAAATACTTGTATTTAGAAGTTTTTTATATTGTTATTTTTGTATTTAATATTTATTACAAACCTACGACATTATCATCCAAAATTAGGAATGGAGAAGAAAATACAAAATAAAACAACAATAAAACTTTACAGACTTTTTTCAAAAAATCCACTTGAATTTGTTCTGGAGAGAAAAAGAAAGAAAGAAGCTAAACCACTGGGTTGCATAGTGGCCATTCTGTGATATTGTTGATCAGTCAGGTCACTCAGCGTCATTGATTTTGTAAAATTGTTCAAAAATGTAATGGTTATATTACAAGGTTTCCACGTATCTCGTCAGTTGGTCCTGGGGATCCACGGGGGTCATGTCTGAATCGTCTTGGTTTAACGTAGCAGCATTGGCTGGACTGTTCATTTGTGCCATAGTCCCATGCTGCAGGGGGTTCTGTGACAGCATGGGCTGGTCCGTCTGCATAGGTTCAGGCTTGCCAGGGTGTGGAGAGTTCATCTGCTGCATGGGCCGCGGTGAGGGCTGGGCAGACTGTGTTCTTGGGGATGGGGTGGGCTGCGGCCTTGGCGAGGGGTTAGGGTTGGGCGATCGCACCTGGACCAGGGTGTTAGCTGTTTGTGGAGAACGCACCTGCTGCATCACGTGCTGGGGAGACTGGTTGGGCAACATGCCTGGCTGCTGAACTCCTGCCTGGTTCTGGTTTGCAAGCATCTGCTGCTTCTGCAATTGCTGTTGCTGCAGCAGCTTCTGGTACTGCATATTCACCATGGGGTCCCCCTGATTGGGTTGTTGTTGCTGTTGCTGCAGTTGCTGTTGCTGCTGCAACTGCTGCTGTTGCAGCTGTTGCTGTTGCAGCTGCTGGAGGTGCTGCTGCTGTTGGAGTTGCTGCATTTGCTGGGGCAGAAGCTGTGTGCCTGCTCCCTGCTGGGCTATTGCATTTCGCCGTTGCTGCTGTTGCAGAGCAATAGCCTGGTTGAAGCCTGGAAGGGTTCCGTGCATCTGAGGCTGCTGGAATGGTTGCTGGACCTGCCCCTGGACCTGCTGCTGTTGCTGCTGCTGTTGGAACTGTCTTGCCAGCTGCTGCCGCCTCTGTAGCCACTGCTGGTGGTTGAATAACTGTTGCTGGTTGCTGGCTTGCTGAACAGCTGGCTGTTGCCCAGGTTGTTGCTGTTGCTGCTGCTGTTGTTGTTGTTGTTGTTGCTGCTGCTGCTGCTGGGCCTGAGCTGCTTGTTGTTGTTGTTGTTGTTGCATCTGTGAACGCTGCTTGATGAATGCAGCCATCAGCTGGGGGTTGGACTTAAGTATGTTAAGAACCTGCTTCTGTTGCTGCTGAGAGTGTGGTGACTTCAGTGTCTGCAGCAGTTGGTGGAGTGCCTGAGGTTGTAAGCTATTGGCACGGACTGGGCCCTGCTGGCCAATGGTGCCAGGGCTCACCTGCTGCTGTGGCATAACTCCCACATTGCTGGACATGTTCTGCATGCCCAACCCTCCCGGAATGTTCGAAAGATTCGGCACACTTTGCATATTGGGAATGTTCTGCATGCCGGGCATAGTGGTCACATTGGCAGGCACAGTCTGTGGTTGGGTCTGGTTCCCAAACTGATTCCACTGGTCCATGGGAGGCATCATCTGGCCAGCAGAGACCCCCGGGTTGGGCATGGAGAGGGACTTGGATAAGTGACCGATTTGCTGCGGTGGTGGCATGGGATTCCCCTGGCCCAGTTGACTGGGTAATGACATAGGCTTCACTCCCCTCCCTTGGCCCTGAGATGGCGACACAGTCCTTTGTGGCTGCTGTTGTTGGGGCACCATGGGGGGATTTGTTTGGGCAACCTTGGCGGCCGCTTCCTGAACCTGCTTAGCTGCCTGTATGGCTGCTGGTGGTGGGCCTATGGCATTGTTCTGTGGTTTCATACCCCCTGGCTGCTGGGGAGCCACTCCTGCGGCCTGCTGGGGTCGCGCACCATGTTGGATGGGATTGGCACCAGTGGTGGAAGCCTGTGGGTTCATGGCTTGGTTTGGGGCAGTCACCCTCTGCATGGTCGCCATGCGTCGGCGCAGCAACTGCGCCTGCTGCAGTCGGTGCAGCTGCTGTTGCTGCTTGAGTTTGTGTTTGATGTCCAGGCAGAACGGCACCAGGCACTTCTGCTCCTGACAGTGCTTGGCATGGTAGCAGCAGAGGGCGATGAGCTGCTTGCAGATGGGGCACTCCCCATTGGTCTTGCGCTTGCAAACTTTGGTGTGCTGCACCACTCGCTTCATTTTCTGGCAGCTGGGCAGGCGGCAGTTGGCATCACGGCACTGGCGAGCGTGGACCAGACTCTGGATGCAGCGTTGGATAGACAGGCGGCGAGCCTCCTGAGGGTTGCGGGATGCCCCACTGTTGGAATCCACGTCCAGCTCCAGCCCCCATTTCTCCATCTTATGGTTGTGGCCAATCTTCCGGTAGCAATTGCTGCACAAGTCATAGTCCTGTTGAAGAAAGACAAACCACAGAGTTCAAGACATGAACGACAAGCATCTGACAATTATCTGCTTAAGATCTAGCAACATACCACACTGAGTCCTTGTCTTCTGCAGAGGTTTACTTATTTAAAGTATTCACTGTCCAACTGACAAAAGTCAGACAGATAGTTGATGTTGTGTATGGACAATCTACAAAGTCAGTGTTATCTTTTTAAAATCAATGCCATGGTTCAGTTTTAGGGTTTGCTGATTTGTATAGCCATTGCTGATATCGACTTACATTGTGGAACTACATTACATTTCTCAAAAATTGTTCATCTGGGGACACAAAAAGCACAGGAAAAAAATAAATGGGTGCTTACATCGCATACAGTGCAATGGTATCTAGTCTCCACATGATGCTTGCACTCATTGCAGGTGTAGACAAAACGGTCCTGTCCCTGGTTGTGTAGCTCACAAAGCATGCACATGGTGGAGTACTTGGCCCGACGCAGCGAGGAGAACTCATAGTGTTTCTCCCGGGCCAAGGTTAGGAAGGCATCCCGGCCGTCCATCAGGTCACAGGACACCAAGGGGTCAGGGTCCTGGATGGGCTCCTGGTTCTGACCAGGGTTGGTCACCAGACGGATGACAAAGAACACCTGTCGAGTGGATAGAAAACAAAGTCTTATCAGTCTTATCCTTTCAACAAAACAAAGGCAGAACAAACCTGAATCCATCCCCTCAAACAATAAAGCTGGTCACACCAGCTTATGGCTGTCTACAACAGAAGACCGTCTCCTTATTCGCTAAAAAGATTATGGGTGACTCCCCACAAAGATGGCTTACTTCTCTGTGCTTCTCCATGGTGGAGAAGATCTTCTGTGACAAGTCGCTGCCCTGCTGCGGGAAGTTGGTCTTCTTGTTGTTCTTGCGGTTGCTGCTGCTTTTGCTCTTGTTGTTCTTCTTGCACTTCTTCTGGGACTTCTTGCTGCCAATCGGTCCCGACTGAATGGACACCACACCAGAAAACAAGAGAAGAGAAAATATACCTAAAATCTTGCCACTTTTCTAAGGAACACTGTTGATATAACAAATATCTGTGAGCAAAGTACAAAACCTGCTAAATTTAAGTCACAGCAATTAATTAATTTGCCCTGAGAAGTTAGTAAGCTGCCTAGTTCTCCACCATAAGTTTAAGTAACCGCAGGGGGTTTTCTGTTTGCATACATCCAAACTGTGTGTAACAAACCAAACTAATTCTGACCTCTTCCCCGGCACTGGCTGCAGCGGCCTTCTCAGCTGCCTTCTGTCTCTCCTCCTCTTCCTGGTCCAGCTCCTTGATGCTCTCTTCCAGGACGTTAGGCCAGAAGTCGCCTTCAAAGTACGGCAGCTCTGTTGCACATGTGATCCCGTCGTCCATGGCCGACTTCAGAATGTCCTGAAGAGTCAAGCAAACTGAATGAAAAACTGTGTCCTTTGGAAATTAAGCCCTTTCAATCAAACAAGTTGGCTGATTGACACCCCAAATCCATTCAGGTATACTGTTTGGCAAATGAGAAACAAGTCCAAGCATGGCAAAGCAAAGGCAATTTTGGACGGTGTGTTTTATGTTGATAGGACAAATGTTTCTGGACTGAACAAATCTAGGAGCTGAACAAAACTGATCAATGGGAAAGCACTCCAAATGCAAAAGAAGGATTTGAGAAGTAAACATGAGATGGCACTTTTTTCCTTACAGATCTATGCAGTAACCTTTTTATATGTCAGTGATTACACAAGTGAGCTCAAAGATATGCACTGGCACAGTATTGGCACAGTAACTGCATTATGCTACAGCAAACAAATGTGGCTACCCATTACTATGGGTTGGTTGTCTGCTGACTAATCCGACACAACTTACCGATATTCATTGAACAGACGACTACATAAGGAATTCTGCGAGTGATTTGAATCCAAGTGATTGAAAGAGTACAACTCACTGAGTAACCCATGGTAAATTTGCTTCACAAAGCCACATTCATAAATACCTGGGACAGTTTTTCTATTCCTATTGGTCGAAACACATCACAAGACCATGTATTAACATTCGATAATGAATAGGAGACAGTTTAATCGGGCCTGATTAGTCAATGCGCCACACACGCACCAAGTTCACTGAAGGGGATTCTATTAAACAAGTTTCACAAGGAATGTACCATAAAATGGACGGGGGTGTTCGGGCAAATGAAAGTGAAGCTTCAGAACAAATCATTGGAATTCCATTATGTTGACGTCTTTTGACTCTGAATAAAAAGGTATTTATGAATGGGAATAAATGTGTACTTGGCCAGTCTTAAACTAAGGTTTAAGAGACTGTGCTCAGGAGAACAAACACTGAAAATGTCCAAGCCGCAGTCGCATCCATTCTCCTGAGCCAGTCTTATATTCCCTTCATATAACCCTAATCACAACAAATGACGAATTCAGTTGATACATATGAATCATGATCCATCGCTAATGAATTTGAGGTAACTCGGGTCAAAAGAACACTTCACAGGTGTGATTCATTTAAAGTTTCCTGGCATTCCACAGATTAGCTTGACAAATCTTTTGATGGGAGGAGTCTAAAGAACTGTGGCACTTAATGTGGAGCAAGAAATGCGTAGGGTATATGGCAAACGGCAACTATGGAGCAGGGAGAAAATATATCCACTGACCTTATAGTCCACTACCACCTTGTCTGTAACAGACTTGTCCAACATCTTGCGGTACCAGTCCTGCAGTCTCTTTGGCTTGGGGATCTTCTGCTCCGGAGGGTGACAGTGAAAGATGTAGTCGTCCCCCTCGCTTGGGGGACATGCCCAAATGTGGGCCCATTCGTACCTAAAACAAAGGAGGCGTAAACACTGTTTATAACAGACCAAAGTACACCCAAATTGCTTTCGACAGTTCCTGGTTCAACTTCAAAGTGCAATGAACAACATGCATATTGATAACCACTGCAATGACATCATCAGCACAAGACCAAAATAAGAGAAGAAAAGACAACTTACCCTAAGAGCTTGCAATAATCAAGGTAGCCAATGAGGATTTCATGGTATACTGCTGTTCGGTAATTACGAGGCTGGAAGAAGTGAACACTGTCTAAATACGATATATACACACGCCTGCAAATGACAAAGAACAAAAACCCCCAGTAAATAATCATATCCTCTTCAGTCAAAGAGGTGAGAAACTATGCAGGTAGCAGTGTATGACATTACTGAAATTGATGAATGCCTGATCATCACATCTCTCAATTTCGTCGAGAGTTCAAGGTGGATATTGCCTGTGCTTGCTACGTCTCATACATGGCCACAAAATAATATGGCCTTCCTGTGTGATTAAGCAAAGTGCCATCAACTGTCTTTACACAGTCCCTATTGACAAATTCCATTAGCAGTTCCATCTTATCTAGGCATCACTGTTCTGAACATCTTGGCCAAAACAAGGAACTTGCTGGGGGGGGGTGGTTACAGAATCCAGAAATCTTGCAAGAAGTATCTTTAAACATGCTACCCGAATCTTCGAGGAAGAAAAATACAGAAAAAGTGAGAAGAGAACAAAAATCAAGAGAAACTTGGCTATCTTTTGACTCTACCTCTGATTTGGCCTGAGACACTCTGAACCGTACTCCTGGACATGCATGCCAAAGAAGCACACGTCCACTCCATCAATCTCCTCAAAGGCAAAGAGTGCCTTCGCCCGGTAGGGAAACGTCTCCGGAAGGTCGTCTCCAAAACTAGCAAAGAGAGGTGAATTTTGTTCTGTTTACAAACTGAGGTCATTTTCAAGCAGTGGCAGATATATACCACAATCAAAGGAAATGCACTGCAGTGCAATTTATTTTGTGCAAGTATCAAAGCTGTGCATAGAGAGAGTAGCATCAACTCCAGACTTGGGACCAAAATGGCTGTTTATTATGTGTGCAATACAGCATGCAGCTATTGTGTGTCAACTGTCCACGTACACTGATGCATAATCCACCATATTGGTTCCAACAACTGAGACACTCATGTCGCAACTCTCTCTGCATAACAGCGCCATCAACAGACCCTGCACAGAGAGAATGCAAGATACTGACAGACCAACTCCAGCACTCATCCACTCCTTACCGACTTCTCATCCCCGGTTTGACCTCCACTGTCTTCTCAGAGCTGGCCAACACCCGGATGGTCACCTCCCCAGCTCCTGTATTGCGACACTTCAGGTACTTGTTCACTCGATTTTCTAAGTGTGTGCCAAGCTTGGACGTCGGCAGCTCTGTTGGGGGCAAATACGCCAATTTTAATATTTTCCAAAATATCGAACTTGCATCCTGCATTATGAAGTATGACTGGCAGATGAAAACATCTGTCAGGTTTCATGTGGCATGTCAAACTGTTAATATCAACTGTTCGTTATCTTTTAAAAACAGTCTTCAGTATCTACCAATTTACTAAATATTTCAGCAAAGGCAAGCAAGCCAAAATGCCTCTGTAGACTCAGTTTTTTGTTCGAAACTCTGAAAAACAGCACCACGGGACACAATCTGATTTCTTTTAGCCGGTTCATTGTCTCAAAGACGTAGATGAAAGCAGTCACTCACTCTTTGCGGTATACTTGTTCTCTTTCTTCTTGATACCTTTGGCCTTTCTGCAGCCGTCACAGATGAAGCTGGGGGGGAGGGAGAAGGGAAGAGGTGGTCACATTAATAAACAAGACAGGAATTAGACAGGAATTACTCAAGGATTTGCAGAAGATTAAACTGAATCAAGGAAGTTAATCTGTTGCAATTTGAGAACTATCAAGGAAGTTACGAAGAGTGCCAAAACTTACCCTTCGGGCCAAATCACCTCGTTATGTAGGACACATATCACATGCAGTTTTCTTCCACATTCCAAGCAGTCAACAAACCTGCAGTCAGAAAAATATTTTATTGTAACTTTTTTTAAAAATCATCTTACAAAACAGAAGCGAAACATTCTTCAACATCTCCACAAAGCTTGCTCTTGATTCTGGTCTTTTCAGTGCAATGTTTCTGGACACCTGTAATTCTCCAGGTAGCAATATTGCTAAAATACATTCTAACCATAATCTAGATGTTTTTGTATCAAATAAACTGGTTTTGTTTTTTGATTGGTGACTAATAAGCCCACAGGACAAGGCTAGTTTTCATCTGTGCTGAAACACCACCAAGAGCTCTACAACATAGCTGTTGGGAGTTAAATTACATTGAACATTTTGGAAGTTTTTGAAAAAATTGTTTTAATTCAAAAAAAAAGATGGAAGAACAGAATAGTTCTGTGAAAATTTTTGTCATCCTTGTACCCTGAAATTAGAGAGTTGGGTTCTGACAACTTTAAACAGCACAAGGCTGAACTTACGGCTCCACATCCAGGGTATCGTTCTTCAACTTTACAAAATTCTCCTTTTTGATGGTACTGCAAGGGAAACGGATGAAGAAACATAATTCAAATACACTGCATAACTGTTGAGATGATATTCACACTCTCGAGTCATAAAAGCTGGGGAGTGTAACACCTTTGACCCTCCCAAAAAATAAAAAAAATAAAAAAATGAGATGAATGGGGGAAGGTTTAATCAAATGCGACTTTAGTGAACCGACGACTCCGTGCACATTGTGTTAGTAAACAGAAAATGCTTTCAGATATGGAAAAAGAAAGACTTCTTTTGTTTTTTAACGAGCAAGTATATGTTTCTTATGAGTGGTGCAAGTGTGTTCTAAGACTTCACTCTGGTGTTGTGTGTAAATACACCGATCCACTGTCTGCAGTACTCTTGCTGTGTGGGACGCTTCTTGTCATTGTGTGTGGGGTTGTTTAACGTAAGGTGACTGATGGGGTGTCTGAGAACATTTCAAGTTTAGGGAGTGGGGAGTGGACCGGTCTATTTACCTTTCGAGTTGCTTAGCATTGTTGAGCCTTGTGTCATTTCCGGTCCACCAGAACCTGTTGAGTGGGTGCAAACAGTTGGGTGTTACCAGAAATCCATTAATCCCAACCAGTAAAGGTCTCCCCCCACGAGAAATCAATTCCAGTAATCAAATGTCATCAGCACCAACTGTTTCACGGGAACATTTCGAACAGACATGTGTGCAGATGCATCCTGCTTTCCATTCGGGACACAATGTAACAACTTCACAAGAAGGCTCTTGTCTACCAATGGACCTTTACTATCCCAGTACTAGCGTTGCACCTCCCACATGGCCCCCATATGTGCTTAACATCCAGTTCACATCTACCTCACAAGATCAGCATCATACACTGGCATACTTTGTAACAAGTAATGGATTTCTGGTAAACCCAACAGTGACAAAAACTAACTGGATTTGTGTTTTTTAACATTACGTTGCACCAGACATGTTGGGGAATTAGTAGTGTTAATTTGCCATCAGGTTTACCAAAAAAATAAATAAAATAAAACAACGTAAAGTGGTGATCCAGGTTAGCAATTAGTATAACCGTTTGACTAAAACCACTTTAAATAAAACTCTCTCAGCAGCAGAGTCTTTACACACACAGGTGGGCTACAGATCCTGTTAACTCTTCTAAGCACACATCAGTGAGATGTACAATATCCCGAGGTGTGCAATGACCAGTGACATCCCTGGGTGCAGGGACCAAGAGGCTTGAACTGGAAAAACCCAGATCAGGGCTTATGCCTAGAATTGCAGAGGCTTGCATCCACTATGATCCAGGACCCATAGCCACTTGCTAACTCAATGAAGAATGCTACTTTGGCTAACTTCCTTTAGGACTAACTACTTACGTCTGCGACTGTGTGGGGTCATCTCCCAAGGTCACAGAGTCTCCCTCAATCTCGTTGAAGCACTTTTCACAGAAGTGATACCTAGAAATAGGAAAGTCCATATTGCTGATTTTATTCTACGTCAAACCAGACACTTACAGATGTCAACTACAAAAATAAGTATTGAAACAAAAATCAGCCTGGAAACTTCCAACATTTCATTACTTTATTTCCTGAATTATTCCATTTCAAATCGCCTTCCTAAACAGGCTAGCAATTTAGTAACTATTCAATCTATTCTTTCTAGCACCAGCTTATCCTGTGGGAATGCTTTTTTAAAGTCAAAATCATGACAAAAACATCAGAACAAACAAAAACGCTAGTGAAAAAATGCTTTTATCTCAACCTGGTGACGTAGGGCAAGTCTAACATTGTGCACTTGAGTAATTGCCATTTAAAAATGTCTGATTTCCAACCTGTTCTGGTAGCTCCAATATGCAGCATCACGAGGGATGGTACATAGCTGCTTGCCATAGCAGCACAATACTTGGGGGTGGAATACAAACTATGACAGTAAAAGAAATAGAAATTATTACCTCAACACCGTATCAAAATAACAATTTCAGAAAGCATACCATCAAGCTTGTTTGGTCTCCAAACTATACATACAAACTATCTTTGGATCTGACAACTTACAACTCTGGGATAAACAATCCGTAGTACGTAGGCAAAACTTCAATAGATACAAATGAAGCTGATGATTTTCAAAAGTACCCACTTTCAAAAACTTGTTTAGCTTACATGGTACTTTTTGTGGAAAAAAAAATTTGATCTTTTTGATTTTCACTGCTACCTACGGATAAAGCTAGCCTCATCCCCAAGAACTAGGCCATGACTGAAATCCAAACTCCTTCATAATGCTGTGTCCCATTGCCTCATTACTCATCATTCACTCATGTTACTTCTAATACTGATCAATTTTCCTTTTGGGCTGCTACAGTGATGGGCCTGGAAGCCTACCTTATGGCCACAGCAGTAGCCCAGCATCTGCATCACAGGGTCAATCTCAGCTTCAAAGACTTCGGCCAGCTTGGAGCAGTACTTGTAGACCCGGGAGGTCTTTCGATTGTACAGCCAGGCATTCTCCAGCATCAGCCAGACATCGTCTACGTACTGCCAGGGGTTCTGGTAAACTCCGGTGTCCAGCTTGTGTTTGATGGTGGACAGGTCCATGGGTTGCCTCACGATGTCAAAATAGTCCTGAAATTACAACCACACAGGACTGGTTTTTGGGGGGCTGGCTCTCAACTCCTTGCTAGCATGGGAGCATGTGCCCTGTATTCGGACAATCAACTATGATGAATCCACTTTTGAATTCCGGAACAATTTTTCAACAAAATTTTCAATCCTTATTGTAACCAATTTTGAGAAAACCAAGTGGTACAAAAGTGACGGCTTCTTGTGAACGGAACTCGTCTGAGCACAGCTCAAGACCAACATATCACAGTCTGGCCAGGGAAGGGGACGAAGGCTGTGGCAGCAACGGTGGCGACAACGAGGAGAGGAACTGGGAAAAGACATACCTCATAGGATTTGGGGTTGGGTTTCTTGGCTCGAGTTCCGTTCACAGGGGAATTCTTAGGCTGAGTGGTAGTTGACAAAAACAAAGACAAGTGCTGGCATTTTATCTTGAAACATGCTGTCAGTAGTGTTTCCGGCAGTTCTAAACTCGGTTACGGACAGGATCAAAAATGCATTGACTGTTCACACGTATTCGCATATGTTCCTCCCATTCTGCACGCCTTCCTGTTACTTTGCGCTATGAATGACATCTCAGAATGCGTTCCTCACCGTTCCCAGAGATGACTCACGCAAAGCACATTGTCATGTTCATGAAGTGTTCCTTTGCATGCGAGAATGGCTGTGTTGCAACAAAGATGTGAAAAACATTGGCAGGTGCTCAGAAAAAAAAAAAGACTAGATGATGGGCGGGGAAATTATGAAAACCACAAGTAGTCCAGGTTTGGATAGAAAAGAAATGCTGAGATGGCAATGATTAATATTTTTGGCGTTTTGGGTGCTCGGGAAGTTTTTCTCTTGATGTGTACTACAATAAGTGGCCTGTGAACCATCCATATGAAAACGAGTTTTGTATACAATTTTTGGGGGGAGATTAACCTTTTCTCTCGAAGTACTTGACCATTGTTTATTGTATCAAAGTACCATTCCTGACCATTATATTCTGTGATTTCCCCACTGATGCCCACAAATTCTGAGGCAGGGGAGAAAATGTGAAACTGCTGAAGGCCCAAAGATGTTTGTACACGATAACAAACAACCCACTTCCAAACTTTATACAATATGCAGAATTTGTTGGTAAGAGGAAGGCATTTTTTGTGGAATGAAATTCTACTACAAAGAATTAAGAACTGCCTTCAATCAAGATCAAAATTAGGTCAGAAAAGGCAGCTTGGTGTCTTTGAATTGTTAAGAAGAAAAGCACCCCGGATTGAATTGCTATAATTTAACCAAAAATTTTCATTTTCCCGTCTGTTTGTAAGGGATTTTTTTCCTACCCGCGGTGTCAGTAACACCTCTCCTGTGGGGGGACTTCACACACTTTTCTCTTTGCGTACTTTTAGCGCCACAGAGATCTTCCCATGTGCACAGACCGTGACTGGCCTTTTGTTTTTAAGGAATGCANTAAGAACGGGAGGGCCTTCGGACACCTGCCACTGGAGGTAGCTCGAACAAAAGACGGCATTCCTGGCATTCACACGCGTTCGAACAGTCAATGTATTTTTGATGTCCCTTACGACAAATTAAAACCCAAAAAGTAAAGTAAAGGCAGAACGCATCACACATTAGCTGGGGAGACTGGTCAGGAAGAGATCCCAAAGTGGGCACAAAAGAACTCAACTGTAATGCCAAGGACAAAGAAAGACTCAACTTTTTTCATTTCAAGACAAACAAGGTTTTTTCTTTCAGACATGACTTGGTCTTTATGACATTCTTCCAAGCCAAAGTAACATGGGGGAAAAAAAACCAAACAAACATAAAAGGGATGAGCACAAACCGGTATTTGTAAGGTCTTGGGATCCACTGCCTGCTGGAAGGGTAGAGACTCTGGATTCTGACGATACAGTTTCTCCAAGGTAGGTATCAAGGCTTGCCGAAGTTCGTCAGGCTTGAAAACTGTTCCAAAAAACAAGAGACAATAAGTGAAAGATCAGTCAGTGTCTATGCCATTGCCATTACTTAAAACACATCAACAGGTTAAAATCTTGCTGGTATATGAGTTTTGATCTGTGAAAATCCTTCACATATTGCCTCATCACATTAGTAGACAATGGAAAAATAGTTGTTGAGATTTTAATGTTTAGCTCTAATTTTTATCAACATATCAATTATCATTCTTTAAGTATTTTACACGTATCACATTGCTTTATATGTAAACAGTTGCAACCTTCCATTCACTTTTTTTGTGCAAACTCAGTAAAATGTTGGGACTTAAAGATCGACTGTGAGGGCGCATGTCCAGTTACAGACATCCTAGAATCGGGAAAAAGATGTTCTGACAACAGCACAGGGTCTTCCTTGATTGTTTGTTTATAACATGAAAATGACAAATTTCACCATATGAAGGGTTTTCCCAGATATCACATGTTGATAAAAAATGTTTTTTAAGGTTGAATCCTGTCAGTGAGACAACATCATTTTTATCTTATACCAAAAAAAAGGGTGCTTAAATGGTCATTTGATTGACATAATGTAATTGCCTTTTCCACCCCCCTTGCCACTGCCGACGCCATCCGGCTGGGAGGCGTTGCCAAACCCGCAGGTGTAGGGGTTGCCGTCCACGGGCTCCTGCTTGACCCCCGGCTCCAGACTGGCCGGAGCAGGGGTCTGCTTGCCACCCTTGGGTGTCAGAGCAGGCTCCTGCTTGGGCTGGGGCGTAGCTGCAGGTGTGGTGGTTTCGGAGGCTGGCTGGGCTGTCTGCTCGATGGAAGGGGGCTGCTTGCCAAGACTGCCAGACTGCACCTGCTTGGAATCAAACATCACATATCCAATAACATATTTTTGAACTTAAAACTTTCCTTTAGACAACTGTCACAACTTAGGCATTCTTACTGGGTTCTGAAAAACATCCAAATGGCAGAAAATCAGTTCTACAGTTTTGAAGAAGAATAAGGGAAGTAAAGTATTCTGTGCCAACTTATTCTGTTGTGGCACTTGATTTCTAATTATATTACTTGTGATATTTCATGAAAGATAATAAAATAAATAATACATTTAAACCCAGTTAGGACTAATCTACAGCCGAAGATAGAGGGTCCCAACAAATGAACAGTGCTGGATAACACTATTATAGAGCTAATCTGGGCAGTGTTTTAATCAAATGTCCTTTCACAAGATAAGTATATGTAGCTGGGTGAACAATGGAAAAGGGATGTTTTTTTGAAAAACATGTGACTGGCTTAATGCAAACATGGTGGATTTGTGATGGACTCAACTGCAACACTGAATCAGGGTATTTTCCTAGATGTTTCTAAAACGAGTCACACGCACACACTTTTTATGGCATAAAGTTAAAGCTTAAGTAGTAGTCTGGTGGGAAAAAAGGAAAAGCTAAAACATTCAAATTATACTGCTTACAATGTTTCCAGCCATGTTCCCAGACCCAAGCATGCTGATGATGCTACGGGATGGAAGACCTGGCAAGGGTTGGTGGCCCTCACTGCTACTACCTAAGTTGCAACACAAAATAATTTTGAAAACTAATACAGCTTTCATATTAAACTTGAGTTTCTTTTAAACTTATAATTAAAGTTCTGTATTGATGTCGATTAGGATATATTTTTAAGTCAAACACTTTGATCTAGATGTTTTTTCCTGTGCATATAAAAACACACTTTGCAGCAAATCTGTTCCACTGGAGTCTTTGCTAGGTACTTGTATTAAATGCAGTTTTAAACCAGTCTGAATGCATTAAAGGTCAGTTACATCTACCAGTAGATTTCTTCTTTGGAGCCAATTCCACTAAATCATCGCCACCAGGATGTAAACGTCTTTTTCCTGATCAATGGAAAATAGATAATACTTCAAATTCAAAAAAAAAAGAAAACAATTACATATTAAATTACACTATTAGCCAGACAAAAAAATGAGCCAACTGAAAGAGCAACCCCAATGGAGGAAAAAAATAAGAAATCTGCCCATGGTATGTTTACTTGGATCTCATTTTAGACAACTATGCCACATAAATCTGGATTCAGCAACATTTTTGGTTAAAAAAAAATCACTTTTGAGAACTGTTTCTGCCAAGTGCCATGGCTAGCTTTCATGAAAGGAGCGTGTCGTCATCGCCTCACTTATTACTTATTGGTTGTACGGTTGACTCCAAACATATACCTGCAAAGGTTTCTTTTTATTTTACACTGGCGAAGAAAGTGTATTATAAAACAAACATGGACTGGCATAATTTGGTCACTCCTGCACATCCATGCCCCCCTCGGGCCTGTGAGTGACCAGAGTAGGGTCCTATTTCCCTTGACAAGGCACACAGACGTACAAGTGTGACATCACTGACAGTCACTTTCTACCCAAAAGATACCCTGCTGCATTCATTACCATCTGTCATACATAATTCAGTTGCCATTACCATTTAGGCATTACCGAATTAGCTGATTTACAAAGTGTCATTCACGATCTTCAAGTTTTGCTTGGTCATCAATGCTTGTGCATGTACATCATCTTAACATGCAGTGCCACAATAGTGTAGCGTGTCCTACTGCTACTACAGTTAGCCACAAATTGCCGTTCCGGCCAAGAAACCTTGGTTTTATTTCTCCTACGTTACAACACTGTGTCAATCAACAAGCTCTAGACACGAGGTGTCTCCGGGGACTGGACAGGCGCGAGGTGGGAAAACCGCGGGCCGTTCGTATACCAGTGGGGGCAGCCAGCCAGTCCCATGAGGGTCCGAGCTGGCGCCCCCACCGGCGCTACAATAGTTTCATAAAGTACATGTACATGCACATTACCAGTACTTTATTCCCTAGGTTAGTTGGAGAACTGTTTTTTTACATTTGTGTGACTTGTCACTGCCCTTGAGGATCCAGGTGACTGGCATGTGATGGCGAATGGACCAGTCAGAGGTCAGATCTTGCAATGAAGTACAATATGACTGTCATGTTCTCAGTCACTTTCTTACAGTACATGTATCACTTTTGACCGAAAAATGTAAACAACATGACCACCTCTTGATATACATGTACAGTCAAATGCCATAAATACGGATTTACAAGAAACATCCAAACAGATTTTTTTTTAATGTATTTCTTTCTACAACCTCACATTTTTCAATGCTGGGGTGCACCTACAAAGCAATATTTGCTTCCAAAACAGGCCAAGCAAAGTGACCTAGTTCACTTTCAAAAAGGTATCGTCTCCACACTTCTCGTACTTTGTGTGTGTACAAAATGAATGGGGGATTAGCATGTTTAATGTCAGCAAGGGGGTGAGTCCAGGCAAACTTGACATTTTCCCTGTCAGTCGTACCAGTTTACACAGATTATATTTACATTTCCTTAAACATGGTTAAAAGTAAACTCACCCACTGTTTTCCTTTGGCCATTCTCAATACCAATGAGGTCTCTGAGGACTTCTTGCATGCTGGGTCTTTCCTTGTAGTTGGCTCGCCAGCATTTACTTAGTAGATCACTGATTTGTTGGTGTTCTGGGAAGTCACATGGAATCTGCAGTCGTTCGTTTCTCTCAACTACAGCTTTGTAAATGTGAAATGCCACTTTATCAGGATAGGGGGCCTTACCAGAAATCATTTCCCAAATGACAACACCATAAGAAAAGACGTCTGATTTTGTTGTGACCTTGCATGGTTTTCTTTTACTGTTGGGATCATATGCAATATCACCAAAGACCTCTGGTGCCATCCATGGGTAGGACCCCCTATTGGTGACTGTGCTTATGGTAAAGTCCCATTTCCTAGATATGCCAAAGTCACATATCTTCAGTGTGTCATCATGAGCGACAAGGTAGTTGGGTGATTTGACATCCCCATGTTGGTACCCCTTCTGATGGATGTACTCCAGAGCCTTAGCACCATCCTGGGCCCATCTCATCCAACGATTCTGCCTATACTCTGGCCAGTTATCATGGTGTTGGCGAATCACATCAAACAAAGAACCCTGCTCGGCATATTCAGTTATGATGATGTAACTGTCAATTGCTGAGGCAGGCTTCACAACTCCAAAGAACTCAATGACGTTGGCATGCTTCAGTTTGGCCAATATCAAAACTTCATCCTCATGGAATTTATTGCAGACTTTTGCGGCTACTGTTATTTCTGACAAACCTGATTTCCATGTTGCCTGGCACACTTTATTTCTGCATGCCCCTGAACTAATTACAGGACCAACTGAAATGTCTTTTCGATCGATGTTGACATAGGAAGCTCCTTCCATCTGAAGCAAAGTATGGAGCAAAGGCAGGATTAATTAATAAATTCACACTAATGAAAACATGACAGGGTCACATCTCATCAAAATGATGTATGGATGGTATACCTTTTCATCCCTACATGTAAGTGTGCACATAGGGACAACAGATATTGGACAAACAGGTACCAGGACCCTACTATCCCAGGTTTTTATTTTATCTATACACTGTACATCAGAAAGGTTTCTGTGTACATGTGTAATACGTGCACATAATTCGGTATGTGATATGAGGTTCTCAGCATTGAATGCTGGAACGTGTTAACAAGAGGCACATCTGTCATGCACAAGAGTGAAGGTAGAGATGGACTTACGTGTACAAACCAAATGACATCCATGTGAGTCAGTAAGAAGTAAACATCTCAAAGGCATTTGACCTGAATGAGTCTTACCATCTGAAACCTTCTAATCAAAGTATCCTACTGACATCTGTGAACTGAATAAAAGTGTGGTTGAACCAGCCCCGACAAGTCAGAGGGCAACTGGGTGTCTTGAAGCTTTTTTGACTTTGAGATACAAAAGTGGTCTTTCTTAAGACACACTTACCAACCCAAACTGTGCAAACCTTGGCCACTTCTTCCCTGGCCACTGGCCTCCTAGTCAAATTGTCTCCTTCTCAAATCAACCTTTGGCTTATTTGGGACAATTATTCAACATTTTTGAAATTGAAACATGGAAATTACCTTGTGATGAAAAACAGGAGGTTGTCATCAACTGCCCAATGGAACTTGGTCAAGTTAGGTCCTCATGGGCCTTCCTGCCTCAAAGGTAGCAAACAGGAACCTGCAGCAATAAGAGAGTAATGCTATAATTAATTCTTTTACGTTACAAGTACTCATTGCATTAACATTTAATTAGAGAAGTTACAAGTTTCCTTGGTCAATCCTCGGAAAGCAAGGGGGAGGAGTAACTCACTCTGTGACATATTCTTTGATTTCATCACAATTTGTTCATCCAGGCTGAGCATTTTGGATCTTTTCCAGTGATGTCTTTAACTATTTTGACACCAATTTTGTAGGGGTGCGCAGTTACGGGTATTTTTACAACCAGGTGCCCGTTTTTTGTTAACATAGGGTACCCGGGTACCCAGAAAAGAGATCACTTTATAACAAATGGCACTGCGCGCGACCCGGAGGACCATGTGCCCCAAAACACGGTTCTTTTTGGTACATAGGAAGCAAGCAGCACATTGTTCTAAAAATTGGAGTTAATCTCTACTACCTTTTTATCAAACGAAATTGTTACCTTCAGTTTGCAAAATGTTTTTGTGGATATATAAAACAGAAAAACAAATCCTCACAGGGAACGTCAGAAAAGAGAACAGAGCTGCAAACCACCTACATGATATATGCACCCGCAACCACTCAAAGGAATTGTCCCGGATGCTGCATGACCACGTACACACGGAACACATGTGGCGTGCACAAACGGTGAGCGCTGGTCGTGTCACGTGCGGACCAGATCAGTGCTATGTACGTCACAGGTTAAAAGGTTTAAAGTTTTATGTACAAAAACACCACCGTAACTCGAACAATGCCCACACCATTATATCCACTTTTTGAAGTTTCTGATTCAAAAAACGCCACCAAAATGCTTCAAACGGCATTAAAAGTATCGAAAGTCTATATAGGGTGAGGAGTCATCGCAAGTGCATTTCTTTTTTCACGAGAACCAGTTGTATGCACATTGCACAAATCAACATAGCTGCAACTGTAATCCTGGCTTTCAAGACACTGAAACTAACCTGATTGCTAACGCGGGCCCAATTACATGTACATGTAGGTAAACACCACACATGAAAGTATGGGACTAGAACTTAGCTAAAGTAAGACGCATAGACCAACAAGACAAACGGAAAGGAAAGATGCATGTAAGGAGTTGGTGCCCATTACGCTATAGTTTACACATGATCAAGGGTCTGTCACATGCCCAATTTAAAAAATCACACTGATGAAAATTCCTGAGGGAGTACCTCTGCACCTGCCCATTTTTTGAAGAGGGTACAGTAACCAAATTCACAGTGTCATGTAAACAGTATACATTTCAAACTTTCAAACAGGGGGCCCCCAGGGGATAGGCCCTCCACTGGAGAGGATACATTTCTCACTCCTCTCCTCCCCCCATCATTCCCCTCAATTTTTCAGGGTGGTACAAGGACATTATCTTTGACATTTTAAATATAAACATTTTTCAGACATAGATAGATCTCCATGGCATGTCGATGTTGAAGAACTTTCAAAAAGCAAACTGCAATTCACAAAGTCCTTGGGATCAATTCTGAAATCACTGCTGCACGGATTCACATTTGCTCATTGCTATCGCACAGGGCTACATGACTCATACAGACACCCAAACATTTATGTTTTTTCCAAATGCATTCACTGAATGGCACAGCCCCTCCCCACCCCCATTTAAAAAAGTGAAGAGTGCAAAATGAACCCTTTAACACCACCCACAAATGCCCACTGTTCGTGTTATTTATTCATGTTGTGTGAGGGTAAATTAAACCAGACATCACTCTTCAACTCACCCAGTGTACATGTAATACAAAAGTGACCAGTATTTGCAAAACTAGTGTTCACATACATATATCAGTATCTAATTACATGTACATGTATCTCTGAAATGGAAGTATCTATAGATGAAAAATTTATCTTATTACATGATTCTCACTTCAATGGCCTGATCGGTTCATGCACTTTATCAGACTGTAAAAACTATCAGATTTAAAAACCTTTCCAACAACTCAAAATCATGAAATGCTACACAGCACAAGTACAACTGGGCATACGGTAAGGCTGGCTTGATTGAATTCACTTCAATTAAGTTTTTTTTAAGCATTGATTTAAATCAACAGTTAGCAAAAAAAATAAAAAATACCTCCCCCAAAGGTGAAAATTGTTTTCTTCAGGTCTTCAGTTTTTCAGCTGATTTATAATTTGTTCAAGTTTTTCACATTTTAAATGGCAAATATACACATGTCTGAGCCCTTCAGAATAGGCAATATTGTGGCACTGGGTATATTCATACAACAGAAATTATGGGTGAACACATGTTATAAGCAATGTATGCGTGATTTAGGGTTAAAGTTTATAGTATTTGATTTAAGCATCCACTTCTAAGTCAAACGCAGTAAAGTGAATATTATGCCGTGAATAGTTACAAAGACACTCAACGGGGTTGTAGGCTTGCACATAAATTCTGACTTAAAATGTAGTTATTCTAGTGTTGGAGTACTCAAGTTGCAAGTACTCAGCCTGTACTCGACTATCAGTTCTCGAAATTTATTTGGACTTGGCCCATACTCTATTCTTTGTACTCAAATTTTGCATGTACTCGGATGTCAAGTACTCAGTACTCAGCCCCAGTACTCGAGGGTGTAATTCGAGTACAGTGCTCAATTGATTCCTCGCAAATGCATAGGCAGTGCTGGGTGCGCCAGCTTAATGCACGCTGGGTGCATTTATTCATCTTTAAAGTTTTTAGTGAAGTTCCTGTCTCCATGCCACGGATGTAGTACTGATTTGTAAATCTGGACTCAGGCTTGAGTCATAAATTCATGCCACATTTTAGCAGTAGTTATGCATGCATGTAACGACAGCGCATTTGTACGTGTTTCAGTGCAGAAACTATTGCCGAAGTTCATGAGCACGAGGGCCACAGATATTCGTTGAATATTCTTTTCAATCATTGAAAATGGCATCGATTTCTGATATAATTAAATGGGGCTATGAAGATCACCAGGAGTTCAGCATCAGGTATTCATAAGTCACACTGTTTGTTTAAAAACGGTAAAAATAATCATTGCCAGTTATGCATTGACATTTTCACATGAACAAAAGGTGTGAATATCCACATGGTAATACAGATTTGTGTTGCACGAAGACCAAGTGCCTGTTTAAATTACAGTATTTGCTTATTTGTTTATTGTACTGCTTTGCAATTGTACTCGGACTCAGACCAGGGTACTTGGACTCGGCCCAGTAATCGGCCTTTGATGTACTTGGACTCAGAGATTCGAACTCGGACTCATCACCAATGTAATTGGACTCAGCCCAGGACTCGGCCCTAAAGTACTCGGAGTACTCTGTACTCGGATTTGAGGACTTGACTCCATCACTTGTTATTAGGTCTAGTAATTATTTATTTAGGCAAATTTATTTAGTCCAAAAATGGCAAGGAACAGTTAAAGTATGACTATTGTGGTCTGAGAATCAGCTGCCCCAATTAGAATCACACAATATGAAATATGTTGCTTTGGTTATGTAATTTACTGTACCTATTATGTTAGGGTGCATCACACTTAAAGATAAATATGGGCACAAAAATAACAGCCCACCTGAGTGTTACTAAATACCTGTTAAGTCATAGAGTCAAGAAGAAGTCAATATATGATGGATTTCCAGTGATTTTGTTCTAAAATTTTACTTTCATTTTCCAAACACCCCTATCCATTTGATGGAATATTCCTTGTGCAAATAGGCAAATTCGCGGCCTGCACACAGACTCTGCAAGAATCAGAATCAAACTGTCTTGTATCCAGATGCCAGAGCGTGTTTTACGCATTGGGCATTATCGCATCTTATCAGGCATTATCAAATATTAATACACGGTTAAGTTGCACATTGTTGAATAGGGAGACTATCTGAGGTATTTACAAATGTGCAATGGCGAACACCGAAAAATAAAGGACAGCACTGGTCAGAACAGAAAACTGCTGGAATCTACCGGAAACACCAGAACACTATTGAAAAAAAAAACAGAAAACTACTGGAAATCTATCGGAAACACCAGAAGAACAATAATTGGAAAACACCAGAAAACTACCGCAAATCTCTCGGAAACACCAGAAGAAAACTAATTGGATAACACCCAACAACTGCTGGAAATCTACCGGAAACAGCAGAAGAACACAAAATGTAAAACACGAGAAAACTGCTGGAAATCTACCGGAAACACGAGAAGACTACATGAAAACACAGGAAAACACAACAACTCACACACCAAAAAAATCAGGAAAAACTGCAACCCACCAAACTACAAAACAACACCCTTAATACTACTGAAAAACACAAAA